ATCATTTACTTTTTCTTTATGAGTAATATTTATGTATGTACGATCATTAATGATAATAATGATAGTATAGCAATAAATTGAAACATGATTTCGAAGATTATTTATAAAAATTTCAATGCCTGTCCACGGCTTGTCTCTTAAAATATAGATTCAACTAAAGAAAAAGTTTATATACTTACAATCATTTATGTTGATTAGTTTTCTTGAGGATATCGGAATCTGGCACGCACTAATTAACATTATATTACACTTATATAACACTTATTTACAATATAAAATTAATTAAATCAGGACGATACGATCACTGCTCTAAATAGCACACCAAGTTCAAATTGAACTTTCAAATATTTTAGTTCCATTCCTGTCGCAAGAGTGCGTAAGAATCTCAAGTGCCAACCTAAAGAAAAAAAATCGAATATTTATTTAACTGCAAATTTTTCAAATAAATAATATTTGTATAATATAAGATTCTCAAGATGCATAAAAACAATAATAAAATTATACAAAATTTTATAAAAAGTAATATTTCATAAGATTTCTTTTAAAATCTCTTAATTTATTCTTAAATTTTTTTAATTTATTTAAAATTCACTTTTCTTATGAATTTTAAAGTTTTGAAGAATTTTTAAAAAAATTATTAAAGACAAATTATTTAAAAATATATTTTTATATATTTTACTATTTATTATTTTTTCTTACTTCACATTACATATAGTAATTTACCGCCATCTAGTGTCTGAATTTATAAACTACATGATAGCAAGAAATTGTGTAGTAGTGAACCGAATATTCCGTTAGTACGAGGTATTGATACTGTGGTGCTGTTGTTGCAATGTAAAAGGTTTGCATGTCGGGCGGGTCGAATAGATAATGTAGAAATCGAAACTGCGACAATTTTTAGCATTTATACTTAAAAATACGTTACACGACAGAAGGTGAATGTTTTGTGTATTTTTTCATTGAAAACGAAATATTTTTAAATAATTTATTGTGTAAATATTATCATATGACAGATGGGTATTCCTCGTTGAAGTCAGTGCTAAATGTTCTAACTTGAATATTAATTAGTGTTATTTCTCTATATGTAATATTTTCCATTGATCAAATCGTTTGTTCTCTTTCAATTAAAAAAATTTTTTATTTGAATATATATTTATTATAGAATAAAAATTGATCTGAAACTGACGTCATAGAACAGAAATCAATAATCGCACTAAACGTAGTTGAAGTTCCGTTAATAAATTTTACGAAACTTGTCAAGAATTTTAGATTCCAACAATGTGATCGAAATTATTTCATACATTTTCAAATTCTTCTGTTAATAAAGTGTTTATGAATATTGTTTAGGAATTAAGAAAGTAGCACAATGATGTCTGACAGAAAAGCAGAACTTGAAAGGAAGAAAGCCAAGCTTCAAGCTATTAGAGAAGAAAAAGAAAGGCGCAGAAGAGAAAAAGAACAAAAAGATGTAAAAATATGATTTTTAATAAAATTTTATATTTAATAATTTTCTTGAATCGTTTGTTTATCTCTTATATTTTTATATTGTAGGTTGAAGAAGCTACAGTTCGTGCTGCAGGAGCAGATAAAGATCATCGCAAAGAATTGGATGCTATGCTTTCATCTTTGGGTGTAGCACCAGTATCAGGTAAATAATTATATTTTGATTTTATAATTTACCTAATTTCATATATATTTTATTTTATTCACAGATGTATTATCCAGTTTATCTAGTATGAATTCCTTAACTCCAGAACAAAGTGCTAATGCTACTCCTGATGCCAGTTTACAACCATCTAGTATAAATTCTGCTCAGAGGTATTTATATTATATTATATTATATTAAATAGTTTCTAATTATTATATAATACACAAATGTATTTATAATTTAACTTATATTTTCCTTTATAGCATTAGTGCTAGGAAGAAGAATAGAGAATTAACAATTGTTTCTGTGGCACATACTAATATTCCACCAAAAGAACCAGTGGTATATACTAAACAAACACAAACTATTCAGACATCACACACATCTCACGACGGTGAGTCACTATATTCAATTTTTAAATTGTTGCACTTTGTGTTATTTTTAAGTGTGAATTTAAAATTATATATAGCTATATAAAAGATTTTAGTGTTTGTATAATATATTTATAATATATTTAAATTAAATTAAAGTACAGTATTGATATAAGAAAATAGAATGTTTGACACTTATAATGAAGTATATGTTATTATATATTATTTATTTAATTGAATATATTAATCTTTAATCCTTTGCATTCCAATTACTTTTTGATTAAACTTATTCAAATCTTTCTATATTAAATTAGATAAATTTCTTAAATGATTAATGCAATATTTTGATTCTTCGTTTGTTGTTTGTATTTTTAAAAATCTCTTTTATGAAAATATGAAGAGGAAAAAAAAAATAAGGTTTATTTTAAATATAAGAAGACAATAAAAGTATATTTTATATTTTTTAATTCATAACAATTTTTACTGTTAATTAAAATTTTTGTACTAATTTATAACTTATTTTTTTTACACATTATTAAATATTGAAAATTATATTATTAAAAATTATGAATTATAAAAAAGAGTATATATATTTCTTCTCTTAAATGATTTAAAGAAGAATACAGAGGATTAAAATTTAACACTTTTTTAATATTTCAAAAAATGCTATCACTTTCACATATGCCTAAACATAATTGAATATGGTAAAGTGGGTGGTGTAATAAATATAAGAATTTATATATTTTTAAAACATATATGCCATTAATGATGTCATTAATAAATTCTTAATAGTTTTTAATTTTTAAAAAATTAATGATATTTTATAATATTTTAATCAATATGTTTATTGATTGTATTATACAATTAGTCACACCAATATAACTTGTTTATAATATTGATTTTATTATATTAACAATGAGAGTTGTTTCTCTTATTTACATTATGTATGATTAATTTTAACTAATGAGGAAACTTACATATTCTTAAAAAATGTTTATAAATAACATGTTACATATGTGTAGTGATTGACATTTTATTTCTTTCTTTTTTTTTTTTATTGTGTGTGCTAGTTTTTATTTTCAATTGAGTTTTCAATAGTTTTCAGCACTTTTTGAATAGACAAAATATTTATCTTAAAGGTGGTATCTATTTACTTTCATATTTATTAAATTATAATATCCCTAGATGTGTGAAAAAAATAATTATGTTCTTAAATATAAAATATTTTTTTGTGTGAACAGTTTTTAAACATATTAAAAAGTGGATTCACTTCTCTTTTATATTTTTTTCAGTACTAATAAGAATAATAACAAATTAATTTTGCTCCTCCATATAAATTTAATATTGCTAAATATTAATAGTATTGTGATATATAAATATTGTGTTCAAGAATAGAAAAATATTATTACAATTGGTATTTTGTTTTAATAATACTGAGTCTTGTTATAACTGTAATAAATTCTTTTCTGAGGGTATTCTAACAATTAAATAGCAAACAT